CAAATCATTGATTTTCATTCCCCACATCCAAAGTGGGGTTCTTGTTTTCTCTGGAAACTCCGCGCAGGAACCTCCTCACCTCACCCCCTCTCCTCTTCTGTCTTCGTGCGCTCACTCACTCACTCACTAGCTCACTCACTCACTCACTTACTCACTCACTCACTAACTCACTGACTCATCAGCACTTACTCACTCACACGTTCATGAACTCACATATGATGATGATGAGTGTGCGCATGAGAGAGTGTGATGATCATCATCATCACCAGTCAGTCAGTCAGTCACTCACTCGCTCACTCGCCTTGGGCCTCGTCTGTGAGTAAATTGTGAGGAAGTCTCAAGCGTGAGCCCCCTCCCTATGGGGCCCGCGGATCATGTTATTAATCCGAGCGGGTCAGCAAATTCTATAACTGTCGCCACTTGGCTCTCGCGCTGCCAGAACGCCATTCCTAGGCCACATTTGTGAGTGAGTTGCGAGGAAGTCTCAAGCGGGAGCCCCCTCCCTATGGGGCCCGCGGATCATGTTACTAATCCGCGCGGGTCGTCCAATTCCTATAACTGTCGCCACTTTTGGGCTCTCGCGCTGCCAGAACGCCATTCCCAGGCCACATGTTGAATGCCCGGAGCCAACTGTAGGCCACTTCGTGTTCTTCGCGCTCCCAGGACATTATTCCCGGGCCACATTTTGAATGCCCGGAGCCAACTGTAGGCCTTTTCGTGTTCTTCGTGTTTCCAGAACACCACTCCCGGGCTACTTTTTGAATGTCCGGAGCCAAAACAGGAGGGCGAGGCCGGGGGCAACGTAGGGAGCGGGGGGAGGGCCCGCGCCAGGGCGAGAAGAAATATACGCAGAAGAGACAGCCAGGACACCTCACCAACCACGAGGACTGAGGGTTTTTCTTTCCATATTCGCCTAGGGGATTCTCATGTGGGGTCCTTCCGTCGGAGTAATGTTTTTTGTTTTACTTGTATTGGCCCAGAAGAGGTCCGCCATTCTTGGGTCGGTGGATGTGGGGTGGCCTCGGGGGGGGTGAAGGGGGGAGAGTAGCACAATACGATATGTAGCAATTATGCAATCAGTGGATACATTGCATACGTTGCATGTTGGTGGCGTGTCAGAAATGTTGTAGCCTGGCGCTCTTGAAAGAGCGGCGGATTTGGCAGCGCTCCCGCGCATTTCTACGAAGGCAGCATATCCAGATTCTCTTGAGCACGCGCAGTAAAGTCTTTGTCGGGCCTACTGGGGTATCTTGGGCGCCTTTGAGGCCCTCTTTGGGGTTTCTTTGGGGGTTCTTGGGGCTTCTTGAGCGCCTTTTGGGCTATCTCGGGGCGCTCTTGCGCCGTCTGGCCTCTGCGGAGGCCGTCTTGGTGGGCTCTCGGGGGGCCTTTGGGGCCGTCTTGGGGGCCTTTTGCGGTAATATTTGGGCCTTCGTGGGCCGTGCGGAGGCCCTCTTTGGAGCGTCGTGGGCCGTTTGGGGGCCACCTTGGAAGCGGCTTGGGCCCCCCCGAGAGCGCAAAAGGCGCGAGCGCGAAAAATCAACAGAAACAAATGCAAAAATCAATATGGTTGCCTCCGGAGGCGCTCTTGAGCGTCCTTTTGGAGCCCCCTTGGGCCATCATGGGGCTTCTAAGGTCTAAGGCCCTCCTGAGGCCATCTTGGGCCGTCTTGGGGCCGTCTTGAGCCGTGTTGAGAGCATCTTGAGCCGTCTTGAGACCAGCTTGGCCCCTCAGGAGGCTCAAGATGCCGAAATCATAGATTCCTTACAGGTTTTGGACAGTTTTTGCATCGAGGACGCCGGCGGCGCATCACCGGCCGCTCCCTGGGAGTTTGCCGAAGTGGTGCGCAGCATCGACAGTCGTGACGCGGCGCGTTTGCCAGCTATCAAATGGCCGTCGGCCCATCACGCGACCGTGCTTGGTTTTTGGGTCGGAGTCCTCATGGCGTAGGAAATGAAACGATTTTTGCTTCTGGAGGGCCTCTTTGGGGCGCCTTGCAATATTGTTTCAAACGTCTTGGGGACTCGTGGAGCCGTGTGGAGGCAATCTTCGGCGTTTTGGGGCGATCCGTCCATTCGTAGCTCTTTTGGACCGTTCCGGGAACCTTTTGGGACCTTTTTGGCTCGTTCTGGGGCCTCCTGAGGCTCCAAGTGTGCGGATGATGGATTTGCCCCTCCCCCCCCTCCCACCCCCTTCCAAACCAGCCGGACCAGGCCCCGGGGGAGGGGTTTGGGGAGGGGGAGGCATCTCACACGCTGTGACCCCAAGGGGTCGGCGGATTTTGTGTTTGGGGTATACTTGAATCGAAGAGGAGATGAGCATACATCGCGGAAATCGCGCTTCTCTCTGTCTCTCTCAGTCTTGGCCCTTCACGAGCTTATCGCCATCATTAACTCCTCCCCGTCCTCCTCTTCATCCTCATCATCCCCCCTACAGTCGACCATCGCCATATCCACAGCGATGCACGAAGAACGAAGGGGCAGGGAAGGTCCAGTGCGAGCTGACGGACGGATCGTTCGAGGCTTCCCTTCAGTTCCAGGTCACGATCGAAGACGTGGGACCACCCGAGGTCGGCGCTGGGGCAATTCCCCTCATCGTCCTCGGCATCCACTCCTTCTCCGCCTGCTCATCGGACTTCTGGTCCTTCTTCTCGTTCTCTTCCCTTATCATTATGCGGCAGCCTGCAAGTCGTACTAAGCCGCTGTGACTGGCAGTCACCGCCCGGGCACACCTCGCCAGAAGGAGGCCCTCTCCTCCGACGCACCCCTTGTTTTGTGACCGCGTGCTCGAACCCCCCCCCGAGTGCTCGAACCACTCCCCGGGGCCCAGCTGTTCGTCCTGAGCCGTTCTGTTGGCGGCCCCGGGGCGGGAAAGCGGCATCCCCAGCTGCCGCAGGCACACAGGAAACCAGCCGCTGCGATTTTTGCTTTGCGTCGCCAGGACCTCCTGGGAGGGATGGACGGTGGGACGCCTCCTGAACCGGAGCACGCGAGACCCGCACCCTCCCTTCAGATCCGACGCCACGGGCAAGCTGCAACATCGTAGAACAATTCCACCCGAGCCCCAGACCGAGTCGTTTTTTGACGGGCCCGAGGGCCGGGAAGGGCCCCCAGGGGCTGAACATAGCGAAAAACTTCCCGTCGTGTTTTTTTCACGACTCGAGGGGGTCTGGGGAGGAGGCGGAGCGCGCGGACCGGGAGCGGAGCACGCTCTCAGAGCATGACATCCTTCTGCACGTGTGCCGAGCGGCCGAGGCCTGCTCTGCACTGCTTGCTGCTGCTGCGCCTCCTCCTGCTCGTCCTCTCCCCCTGCTGCCTTCTCCCCTCTTGCCTTATGTTGCTCCCATCTTACTTAAGGAACACAGCATATCCCAGAAACAGTTTCGAGCACCTGGAAAAGTGTCGAAAGAGTGCCGAAACAGCGTCATGACTTTTTCACGACTCGAGGGGGGTCTGGTGCCCTGGGCCCCACCGTGCTGCGGCAGCTGCCCGCGCCCGGCCAGTCCGTTGAGGGCCCCAGGGCGCGAGGCCGGGCAGCGCCGCCCTCTGCGACGCACAAGAGCACGGCGCCGGGGCCTCGGGCGCGCGACCCGCGGCGGCCGGGCGCGCTCCGACGCGTGCCCGCCTTCTCCTCCTCCTCCTCCTCCTCCTCCTCCTCCTCCTCCTCCTTGCTCTTACGCTGGTCTCCTCCTCCCCTTGCCTCTGCCGCTGCGTGCCCCCCTCCCGCTCCCTCTCCCTCGGTTGCCTCGATTGACAGTGCGGCTCTCCGCTCTTGTGCGTCCCACCACGCTTCCCCCCTGCCATCTGAACACCTCCTTCAGCTCGTCGGGTTGTCTGCCGCCGCGGCCGCTGCTCGTGCATCCTCCGTTGTCGCTGCTGACACTGCCAGCAAGCAAGCAGCAAGCGGGGTCTCTAGCCGTTGTTGGTGACGACGTTGCCCCCTCTACTCCTCCTCCTCGCTCTCCTCATCCTCCTCCTTCTCCTCCTCCTCATCGACGCGTCCACGCGGCGGGCCCCAGCCCGCACATGGATGTCCACGTCTCCGCTGTGCACGCCGTGCTCCAGCATTTTTTTAACGAGCGCAACAATAAACATCGAACCAACAAAAAAAATAGCTCGAGAAGTCGCCGAGTGGCTCGGCAAGGCGAGAGGGGAGAAGGCAGCAGGGGGGAAAGGACGAGCGGGAGGAGGCGCCGCAGCAGCAAGCAGTGCAGGGCAGGTCCAGCCACACGTGCAGAAGGATATGTCATGCTCTGAGAGCGTGCTCCTCTCCCGGTCCGCGCGCTCCGCCTCCCCCTTCGAGTCGTGAACAAATCACGACTGGAGGTTTTTCGTTTTCTTCAGACCTTGGGGACCCTTACTGGCCCTCGGGCCCGTCAAAAAATGACTCGGGATAAAAAACGGGTTCCGGTGAACGGGTCCGGACCCCTGGGGGTCGCGTCATGAAGAAATCATGACGTCGGGGGTTTGGGCCCCTCGCTTGCTGTAGCCAACTTCGGGCACCGCAGCGTCCCTCGACTGCCTCTGAGCGCGGTGGGGACTCTCGCCGCTGCGACAAGAAAGGTCCCAGCCAGAGCCTGGCCCATCTCCGCCAGCAGCGCGACCTGGCGACGACTCGGGCCTCGAAGATCCAGGACGGAGGTTCGACGACGACGACCTCCCGGAGCCTTGGAGGCGTTTTTGGCGGTCCTCGCCGCCACACCTGGTCGCATCTCCAACAAACCCACCGGCCAGGATGGACGCCAGACCCATTTTGAGGAGGCTGTTGAAGGGCCTTGGGACACACAAGTAAATACACACCGATAACAGGATTCCCAATCGTTTCCCATATGTTCTGGATTTTTCTCCCCCCACACTTCCCATATTTCCTTATTTTTCCGCGGGAATCGACGATGAATTGTGTCTGTGTGTTCTTTTCCCTCCTGAGCTGTGCACGCTCGAGCTGCGTCCCCGCCCGCGGGGCCCGCGGGTCGGCGGTGCCCCGCGGCGGCGGGTCGCCCCGCC